CTGTTTTCAAAAGCTCCTTCCACCCAGACTTTTATCCCCTCCTCATCCTCCTCCTTCTACACGGAATTTAGAAAGAGGTGACTCGTTTGGGTGATGGGGAAGGAGAGAAGAAATCTGTTCATCTGTACCCATCCCTCGTCAGCACGTGAGAATAAGAACCCAATGTCATGATTGCCAGTGGCCCTTTTCTGTGTAGACTTTTCTAGCAAGAACTCTAGCCCTGTCAGCAAAATTCTTGCAGCCGAGTATTTGACATACTTTTTTAAAAAGGGACCTGTCAGAAATGACAGTGATTTCTTACAGGTTTGGCTACAGTGTTGCTTCTTCCAGGAAACATTTCCTCGACAACAGAACTTAGAGGGCACACACATGTCCACGCCACCCCCGCCCCAGCAAATTTTATAGCATTAGGGTCTTGCGTCTGTAGATCAGGAAAAAACTGCCTCTGAGATCCTTATAGGATAAGAGGTCCCTTCGTACACATAGCCTCCGCCTGTGAGTGAGGGTTATAGGCAGCAGCGACAAGGAATCGAATTTGCTGGGATTTGGTTTGCTCACAGCCCTGGCTCTTAGCAGGGTGGGTTTTTACTCCAGGTTCACACAGTCTCTCTAGACTCATCTTTTTCCAGGACTGAGTACAACCTTTTCCCCTCCTATCCCCTACTCCCCAGTACAGTTACCCTGTATAGATTCCCGCAACGAATCCGTAAATGTTATTGTCCAACACGTCCCTGTGTGATACTCGGTAAATGTCACTGTCTACTATCTGGTCTATGGCACAGTGCTAAATGGTTTTTGTAATTGTGGTTTTGAGTGGAACCGGAGAATGCTTTTGTAATTGTGTGTCAGAGTTTCTTGTCCTTTTTCCAGGAAGCCAGAACGGAATCATTTCTAGGGCTTATAGCAGTGATGGCGAACCTTTTGAGCTCGGCTTGTCAGCATTTTGAAAAACCCTAACTTAACTCTGGTGCCGTGTCACATATAGAACTTTTTGATATTTGCAACCATAGTAAAACAAAGACTTAGATTTTTGATATTTATTTTATATATTTAAATGCCATTTAACAAAGAAAAATCAACCAAAAAACTGAGTTCGCATGTCACCTCTGACACGCGTGTCATAGGTTCGCCATCACTGGCTTATAGTCTATCGTCTTTAGTCCGGTAGCATATGCCCTTGTGGCCTATGAGTGGCAAGGTATGAAAAGGCTGTAATCAAAACACTCCCTTGCTGCAGCTCAAGAATGCTTACTAGAGCTGCCCCGAAGCCAAAGGGGTTTTAAAAAAACATCCTCTCTTTCTTCATTAGGGCTTGCCCTACGCAGTCGGTTCCCTGTCGGAGCTTGCTGCACCCACAGGCAGAGCACCCGTTGCGTGTTATGAAACATATCGCCCATTCATGTATTTGTCCAGCCCATTAGACTCCAAATGCCTCAAGGCCAAGGATAAAGTTTTACTCATCCCTTTAGCTCAGCACCTCCTTCTATGCCTGTTTATTGACCTGAACAGAGGGAACCAAACAAAACCGAAAACACGGGACAGAAAAGACTGGAAGGAGAGAGGACAGCCTGGCTTGTAGCAGGCATGGAATACCCATGCTAAGGATTTCCCTCTTAAAATTCTTACAGGCGAGGAGTTACTCAATAAGAGGCTAATCGTTTCTTTCCAGGGGAAAGAAAAATAGCAAAGTGCAAAAAGTTTTGGGGGCATGCAGAAGACACATGAGTTTTCTTTGCTGTTTTGAGCTTTCTCTAGAAAAGGGCGGGGGGTGGCACGTGGGAACTATGTCATAGGATTGTTATGGGGATGAAATGGAAAGTTTTATATATGTGACTTAGCACTGTCCCTGGCTGATGGTAAGTAATTAGTAAGTATTTAATATTTTTATCGTATTTCATTACATCCAATTAAGAGATACTTTTGTGTCACTAAGAAAAAATGTCCTATTAAACTATTACACAATGATTTCTTATCATCAAAATTATTTTTTTAAATTTTATTTTTTATCCTCACCCAAGGATATTTTTCCTTTTTTTTTTTTTTAGAGCAGAAGAGAGAGGGAAAGACAGAGAGAAATATCGATGTGAGAGAAACACATCGATTGGTTGCTTCCTGCACGAGCCCCAACCAGGGCCTGGGCCGGGGAGGAGCCTGCAACTGAGGTATGTGCGTGCCCTTGACCGGAATCGAACCCAAACCCGGGACCTTTCAGTCCTCAGGCCTACACTCTATCCACTGAGCCAAACTAGCTAGGGCCAAAATTATTTTTTACTTATTGAAAAACTCTTAGACTTATTTAGATGGCTTTTTAAAATCACTGAGTCTGGTTCTTCAGAATCACTTTTTGATTTGTTTTTTTCTCTCGTAACGTTGCCTGTGATATCAATTGCGAGAAATGAGAAATGCAGCACTTTTAAAATGTCTTCTGCTAAATCCCAGACTTTCTTTCAAACCGCCGACACCCACTCTCCTCATGCTCGTCCCTTCTCCCCAGGAGGTGCCGGCAGAATGTTTTCAGACAACAGCCACATCCATATTCTACTCTGAATTCCTGCTCCGCACACCCTGACCTGCTCTTTCCAGGGCCGTTGCCTCGTTAGGTTACGTCATGACAAGGCCACTGCAGCCGTTAGGTCATGACAAGGCCACTGCAGCCGTTAGGTCATAACAAGGCCACTGCAGCCGTTTCTCAGGGCAGCATCCCTGGAGCCGTTCTTGGCTCCCCTCTGTCTGTTCCACCCACATCCCTTCCATAAGATTGCAACTCTGACTCCGGAATCTGGCTCCATCTGCTCCTCAACTGCTACTTCTCTAGCCTGAGGCCTCCTCAAACATCACCTATAATTACCTCCTGACAGGTTTTTCTGCTTCTGTCTTGGCCCCCCTACAATCCTATTCTCAACATAGTGGCCCCAGTGAATCTTGCAAAAATAAGTAAGTCTCCTATGTTCAAAACCCAGCATGGCTCCCTCGGAGTAGAAGGCAGAGCCTTTGTGCTGGCCCCTCCTCCGCCCTCTGGAGCGTTCTGCTCCCACTCACTGGCTTCCAGGCCTGCTCCTCCTGCCTGAGGGTCTTTGGTCTTCCCTCTGCCCGAAAGCCTCCTCCTTCGGGATTTATAGAGTTAACTCTCTCACCTCTTTCAAGTCTTTGCTCACATCTCATGTTCTCACTGAAACCTACCTTGGCCATCCTAATTAATACAGCCACCTGAACCCCCTTTTGTACCCCGGTTCATTCAATCCCCCTTAATCCACTCCATGTTTTCTTGTTCCATAGCACTTATCAGTATAACTACTATAGAATGTACTTATTTATTATAGTTTATTATCTGTTTTTCCTCACAAGGGTAGGCATTTTTTTAAAAATCCTCACCTGAGGATATATTTATATTGAATTTTTAGAGAGAGAGGAAGTGGGGGGAGGGGGGAAGAGAGAGAGAGAGAGACATCAATCAGATGCCTCCCGTACCTGCCCCAACCAGGGGTCGAACCCACAACCAAGGTATGTATCCTGACTGGGAGTCAAACCCATGACTTTTCGTGTATGGGACAACGCACCAACCAACTGAGCCATGTGGCCAGGGCAGGCAGGAACCGTGGATTTGTTCGCTGAAATTCCCAAGTGCCTAAGCAGTGCTTCATTAGCACTCACTCAGTGCTTGTTGAATTGTACTCAGTTGTGACAAATCGTATGACTGATGTCAGCACAGGTGCATGGGAGTGTATAAGAATGGCCCCCACTGAGCAGATTAAGACTTTGTGAAGGAGCTTTGGGGGTCGAACGACCCTTTCACATGGGTCACCTAAGACCATTGGAAAACACATATGTAATTATATATTGTTTTTGTGATTAATCACTATGCTTTAATTATGTTCAATTTGTAACAATGAAAATACATCCTGCATATCAGATATTTACATTACGACTCATGACAGTAGCAAAATTACAGTTATGAAGTAGCAACGAAAATAATTTTATGGTTGGGTCACAACATGAGGAACTGTATTTAAAGGGCCAGAAGGTTGAGAACCACTGAGCTAATGCTTCAACTGAACTTTTTTTTTTTTCTGTAAAAAGCTTTATTGTTTCATTTGGTCCGATGCATGGGAGAGGGCTTCAGGGTGGTTAAAAGAATGGCTAGGGGTTTCTGGAAGAGGCTCAAGTAAAAGCCAGACACCAGGGGATGCAGAGGGGCCCCTCAAAGGCCTCTGGGCTCCACAGGCTCCTAGTCGTGCTTGAGGAAGAGCCTCTGGAAGGGATACTCGCCCAGCCCAGCCTGGGGGCCGGCCGCCTGTGAGGTGAGGCAGGTGTCGCCCATCTTCTTGATGAGTTTCACCTCCTCACCCCGGAAGTGGTTCTCTAGGAAGTCACGGAGCTGAGGGTCTGCATGGGTAGAACCAGGGCAGGCAGCTCCAAAAGGGCCTGGGTCAGGCTCCTCTCCAAGGCCAGGGCGGCCTCCATGGCGTCCTGCGTTTTGCCCACTCACCTTGGGGAGGCTGCAGCACGTCCTGGAGAGAATGCGGCCACGGAGCTGGTTTTGCATCTTTAAGAGACGCTCAGCGCCCTCCAGCTTCTTCTCTGCCAACTTGCAGAAGCAGCCCAGGCCCTCGAGAGCCACATCTTCACGGTCGAAATAGAAGCCCAGAGAGAGGTAGGTGTGGGAGGCCCGCAGATGCAGGCTGGCCAGGCGGATGACCGCAGCCTCCACGTCGGTGGGATAATTCTGAGGCATTTGGGAGCTCATGGTTGTTCGGCAATAAGGAGTGAAGGTAGGAAAAAAAAAACCCCTGGTGTGTTGCCTGGTCCCAGAGGTGGTTCTGAAGGTGGTAACTGGATAAGATGCAGGAAAGTGGCCGGAGGCTGGAAGAAGGGGCGTCCCTGGTCTGTTCAATCCCAACACTGTTGAAGCAAGAGACAGATATGGGACTGCCAAGGGCACTGAACTGTTTTTTTTAAAAAACATAAATTTTTTATATTTGGAATTAGCAGCTAGACTCAGTTTAGATGATCCCAGTTTTGTTGGCAATATCCGAAGCACCATAGTCAGGGGCCAGTCGAACATATGCCTTCTTCTCTCCATCAGGCCTGATCAGGGTGTTGACCTTGGCCATGTCAATGTCAGAGGGCTTCTTCACAGCCTGTTTGACCTGGTGCCTGTTGGGCCCTGACATGCACAATGAACACAGGGTATTGTCTTCTGTCTTCTTCATGGCCGACTCAGTAGTCAAGCTTGTTTCTCCTGGGATTGCTCTCCTGAGGATATTTAGGTCTTCAGAGCCGCAGTGTCTTTGGCCATCGGAAGGTGGGTGACGTGGGTGTCTTTTTTCTTGAAAGTTGTGGACACCATTCAGCACTGCCTTCTTTGCCATCAAAGCCTTTGCTTTGGCTTCAGTTTGGGGAGGGCCAAGGGTTCCTGTCATCGCTTTCAGCACCATCTATATATATAAAATCCTAAGCAACCATTTGACCATCCAACCGTCCAACCGTCAACCAGTAGCTATGATGCGCACTGTTCACCAGGGGGCAGACGCTCAGACAGGCATTGAAACATGGAACAGACTGATGAATCTCAGAGGGAAGAAGGGAGGGCGGGAAGAGATTAACCAAAGATCTTATACGCATACTAGAGGCCCAGTGAACGTATTCGTGCACTGGTGGGGTCCCTCGACCTGGCCTGTGCCATCTCACAATCTGGGACCTCTCGGGGGATGTTGATTAGCCAGTTTTGGCCCAATCCCTGCAGGCCTGGCTGAGGGACCCCACGGGTGCACAAATCCGTGCATCGGGCCTCTAGTCTTCCTATAAAAGAGGTCAGCTGAATTTTTAAGGATAAGTAGTGAGGCAGCTGAAGGAACCATAGGGTATTGTTTCAGGTAGCTTATTAGATTGAACCTGATTGCTGTTCAGGGTGTGGAAGTCAAACCCCATGGGTAATACAATGCAAAAAATTTTTCATGGCTTATTTATGTCCAGGTGTACCACGTTATCAGTGAGCGCTCATAACATACCGCAATCAGACCGCATGGGCCAGGAATGTCAGCTTGACCAGCCCAGGGGCCACATCTTTGTCAACATAGTGGTCAGTAAGGAAAATGTTCAGGCCTGTTCGCCAAAATAGTGGCTAAGGAAGTTTACAGTATGTATCTTTTTAAAAATATATATATATATTTTATTGATTTTTTACAGAGAGGAAGGGAGAGGGATAGAGAGTTAGAAACATCGATGAGAGAGAAACATTGATCGGCTGCCTCCTGCACATCCCCTACCAGGGATGTGCCTGCAACCAAGGTACATGCCCTTGACTGGAATCAAACCTGGGACCATTCAGTCCGCAGGCTGACGCTCTATCCACTGAGCCAAACATACTGGTTAGGGCTACAGTATGTATCTTTAGAAAGGAATGCAGTGACATAGAGATCTTTCTCCTTTGAGGTGTTCTTTCAGTTTGGACCAGGGATTACCCTCAGAGATAGAGCCTTAGCTATTTTGGTACCTGGGACAAGACACAAATCCATTCTTGAATCAGCTATGTCACTTATGATGTGTGATTTATGTGTTCTTAACAACATGTGCCATCTGGTGGCTTCATATTTAAATAACTGTTCTTGGTAATTAGATGTCAAGCTTAGTTGTTTATAGCTGTTGGAGGAATGTATGTGCTGTCAATATATAAATATAACACATTTTAGAGTTGTGTACTCTAAAATGTTTGCCTGTGCCCTTTAAATTTCAGTAGGCAGATACACAGCACTATCTGCCTTCCCAGTTTTGACTCTTTTCATAGAATCCCCTAAGCCCGTGGTCGGCAAACTGCTGCTTGAGAGCCACATGCGGCTCTTTGGCCCCTTGAGTGTGGCTCTTTCACAAAATACCACGTGCGGGCGTGCACGTACAGTGCGATTGAAACTTCGTGGCCCATGCGCAGAAGTCGGTTTTCGGCCTGGGCGAGTCTGTTTTGAAGAAGTGCTGTTGATATTTGGCTCTGTTGACTAGTTGACTAATGAGTTTGCCGACCACTGGGCTAAGCTCAGTCTCTAGATGGCACAGTAACCAATACACATTATTTTTTTTTATTTTTATTTTTATTGCTTAAAGTATTACAAAGGGTATTACATATGTGTCCTTTCCTCCCCCCCCCCCCCGCCCTTGACAGTCCCCTAGCCTCCCCTATCCCCCAGTGTCTTATGTCCATTGGTTATGCTTATATGCATGCATACAAGTCCTTTGGTTGATCTCTTACCCCCCTCCCTCCTGCCCCCCGACCCTCCCCGGCCTTCCCGCTGCAGTTTGACAATCTGTTTGAGGCAGCTCTGCCTCTATATCTATTATTGTTCAAAATTTTATACTGAAAAAAAAAAAAAAGTTTATACTGGTCTCTATTATCCATGAATGAGTGAGATCATGTGGTATTTTTCCTTCATTGACTGGCTTTTTTCACTTAGCATAATGCTCTCCAGTTCCATCCATGCCGTTGCAAATGGTAAGAGTTCCTTCTTTTTTACAGCAGTATAGTATTCCATCGTGTAGATGTACCACAGTTTTCTAATCCATTCATCTACTGATGGGCACTTAGGCTGTTTCCAGATCTTAGCTATAGTGAATTGTGCTGCTATGAACATAGGGGTACATATATCCTTTCTGATTGGTGTTTCTGGTTTCTTGGGATATATTCCTAGAAGTGGGATCACAGGGTCAAATGGGAGTTCCATTTTCAGTTTTTTGAGGAAGCTCCATACTGTCTTCCATAGTGACCAATACACATTATTTAAATGACGGAATCAAATGAATTTTTATATAGGAAAAAAACGAACTCTAAGCTTCAGGACTTGGGGAAACTGAACTTTGTATACTCTTTTATGTCTGTAAAAAAGGGCTCATCATAGTATCTATCTTAGTCTTTATGAGAATATATGTAATAGAAGTTAATATATGTAAGTCTTTGGCATATTTCTTTTATTAATAGACTTTATTTTTCAGAAAAGTATTAGATTTACAGAAAAAGTGAGCAGGTGGTACAGAGAACATATACCACTTGTATCTTCTCCCTTTACCCCCACCCCGTGCCCAGTTTCCCTATTGTTAACATCTTACATTAATATGGTACATTTGTTACAAGTAATGAACCAATATTGACTTATTACTGTTAACTCAAGTCTGTAGTTTACTCGGGTTTCCTTAGTTTCAACTTTATGTCCTTCTCTGTTCTAGGATCCCATCCAGGATGCTATGCTATATTTAGTATCTTGTCTTCTTAGGCTCCCTTGGCTGTGGTAGTTTCCAAGACTTCCCTGTTTTTGATGACCTTGGCAGTTTTGAGGAGTACAGGTCAGGTATATTATAAGATGCCCCTCAATTGGAATTTGTACTTGGCGCATGTTAAGGCATATAAAACTATTGGTTATTATTATTATTGCTTCATATTCAGATTAAAAAAGGGAGGGATATTTTTGCTGCATGTTCAATATTTAAAAGAAAGGTTTATTTTGAGGCTTGGTCAAGTTATCAGTGCTGAAAGACTGTCTGGACAAAATTTTGTTTGCTCACATTTCTCTTTCCATCTGTCCATTCAATTCAGTAAATACTCACCAAGTCTGTACTGTGAGGGCACAAGGATGTTGGATGCTGGGGATTGAATGATAAAGCAAAACCACCCTCATGGAGCTTCCAGTCAAATAGGGAGACAGTTAAAATAAGTAACTAGGAAATAATCTAAAAGATATCTTGTGACAAGCAAAGAAAAGACATTTATTCTTAATTTTTAAAATATCTCAGGTGAGGGGGAGGGGGACTACTTTATTAGGATGGTGTATAAGTTAGGATCATATTTAACAGTGAGGGGCAGAACTTTAAAAATCAAGGGTTTAAACAAAAACAAGTTCCTCTCCCATGTTCGGGAAGTTAGGGAGTCAGACTAGAGCTACTGTAGCATGCCCGTTGTGTCAGGGTCCCAGGCTCCTTCCATCTTGTTGCTCTGCTGTGCATACATTTATTTCCCAGGATCATCTCGTGATCTCAGACAGTTTCTGGAGCTCTAGCCGTCACATCTGAATTCTAGTGAAAGGGCAGGGAAAGGAACAACTAATTTCCCATTTCTGCTTCTATGTGGCTAGAACTTAGTCATGGCCTTTACTGGCCACCTTAACTAGTCTTTATCCAGGTGGCCAGGTGTATCAGTTAAACATCCGAACTTGGATTGCTATAGAACAGTGGTTCTCAACCTTCAGCATGCTCCAGAATCATCTGCAAGACTTGTTGAAATCCAGATTGCTGGGCTCCACCCCAGAGTTTCTCATTCAGTAGTAGGCCAAGAACTTTCACTGTAAACAAATTCCCATGTTTTGTTGACAGTGTTGGTCCAGGACACACCATAGAAGAAGGGGAGCATGGATGTTGGGGGGCAGCTGACTCAGAGCATGATTTAGACTTGCATCATTTACATTTTTGTATGGAGACACATTATGCTTTCTGAGGTCAAGTATCTCACCTTTTACGTGTCAAACCTGGATACTTGTACACGATTTAGTAATTTCTGTAGGAGGTCAGTGTTTTGGTTATCTGCTGCTGGGTATCAAATAACCCCCAAACAAAGTAGCTTAAAGCAGTCATTTGCTTATGATTCTATAGATCTGCAATTTGGGCAGGACTCAATTGAGAAGGCTTGCCTGTGCTCTACCTGTGCTGCCTGGTCGTGACTAGGGCTGGAGGATGCAGGATGGCCTCACATGTCTGGGGCTGTCAGCTGGGTACTTCCTTGCTCTGTCACCTGGACTTCCTCACGTGAAGTCCTGGGGCCCCACGAGAGCTAAAGGGAAGTTCAAAGGCTTCTTACGGCCTAAGCCTAGAAGCCACACTCAGTCCCTTCTGCCAGATTCTCTTGGTCAAAGTGAGTCACAAAGCCAGCCCAGATTCCAGGGGAGAGGAAGTGGACGCCATCTGTTGATGGGAGGAGTGGCAAAGTCACGTGGAAGAAACAGCACGCAGTTGTACTGTGCTGTCTCTGGAAGTACCCACCACAGTCAGGAATGAGAGTGTCAATATTACAGTAGCAGTCCCTTATAATTAATTGTAAATGTGGACATAAGATCTATCATTCAGGGGATTTTACTCCTATTGGGACCAGAGTGTGATTTGGGTAAAACATTTCCCACACAGTAGAAAAGACGCGTGGCAAGATCAAACAGGGTTTTAGAAAGGTTTTCTCATACATTGATTGATATAATAGTTCAAACATGAGGAGGAGAACACAGATTCAAAAATAAGCTCCTACATCTTTTTCCGCTGGCTTTCTTTAGACACGTGGCTATTTTGATTGCAAGTTGTGATCTCAACTTTGGAAAGTCAGCATTTAAAAAATAGTGGCCTTGCACCGATACAATGTGAATTAATGCTCTAAAAGAGGTCAAGTTTATAGAATATTTTT